AGATATTTTTTCATTGTTGTAATGAAATATTGCATTTTTAATTTAATGAACGACCATTCATTGATTTAATGAATCGGTTTTAAATTTATGAAAATAAAGTTATTGAATTAAGGAAATAATTCATCGATCCAATGATTTTTTTTTAATGTTCAGCATTCATTAATATTATGTACAAAAATTTTTTCAGTGCATATTTCATAATTTAATTGAAAGAAACGACAAAAAATATATAACCAAACATAATACAATCTTACATACAAATCAGATTGCTTACCAGATTTTGAATTGACAGTAAATTTAACAACTTAAAAACTACTTAAACTGAAATAAATTGTCTTTTAATATAAAAATTGTTCGGAAGAAATTAAGTTATAACACTAAAAAATCACTTTCAAATTCACAATTCGCACGTTAAAACAAATAACAACAAACGAATGAATGCCTGTTACGAAGGTTCCGTTTTTTGCCACGATGGCGCTGCAATCTTAAATTCAGATGCCAATAACCAAAATTTCAGATTTTTAAGTTTTTTCATTATTGAGATACTTCTAATGGACGGTTACCGTGAAAAGCCCTGTATACCTATTACTACTATACCCCATACTACGGTCTAAAACCCGTAGCAAACATTATACTGTGGTGTGCCTGATTATTTATGCGCATGCTCAAGTGAAAGATTTCTTGATTGGCTACTTTTGACACAGCAAATGAAACGTCAGAAACGTGCTAGCTTTTATTTTGGTATATTTTTTGATATATTTTTAAAATCGACTTCGACTTGCGTGTGTAAATATGGCAGGTTACCGAATTTAAAGACGATTTCAAGTATTATTTTCCTTCTTTTCTTTTTAGGCCTCAGCTACTCACTATTGGTCGTTTTAAAATTAACGCGCTTGCGTATAAACGACTAAGCACACCACAGAGAGTCGGATCTCTCTCTTTAATCGCTACGATTTTCTCTCATGGAATAGATAGGGAGTTAGCAGTATAGTAGTAATAGGTATATGAATGGAAATAATGTTTTAATAATAAATACAGGGCAAAAGATTATAAAAATAGAGACATTGGACAGGAATAATAACTAAAAAAAAGTATTCCATAAAGTTTTCCATTAAAATATTAAAACTTAAAAGGAGGCGGTATTATATGACATTAATTACATGATGATTATAGATGAATGTTTATTTTTTATACCTATATTTTATTCTGTTATTTATTACTATTATTATTTATATTATTATTTATCTGTTTATTACTGTTTCTGGAGCATTCTAATTGACTGTTGAGCGTCTAAATGGTTCTGAACAGATCTAAATGAGTTTGTGGGGTTCTAAATGGGTCCAGACAGTTCTAAATGATCCTGAAGCAGTGAAGCGTTCTAAATGTTTTTGAAGCGTCCTAAATGGTTCTAGACAGTTCTAAATGTTTAAGAAGCGTTCCTAATGTTTCTGATTCCTTTTAAATGGCGCTGAATCGGTTTAAATGTTCCGAATGGTTATAGGAAGTTTTAAATTATCAGGAGAGTTCTAAATGTTGGAGCCTTTTAAATGTCTCTGAATTCAGAGATTAATCAAAACGATTAATCGTTCTAAATGTTTCAGAATAGTTCTAAATAATTTTAGACAGTTCTAAATGATTCATAAGCTTTCTTAATGCTTTTGAAACGATCTAAATGGTAACTGAAGCATTCTAATTGGTTCTGAAGCGGTCTAAATGGTTCTAAATAGTTCTAAATGATTCGGGAGCATTCTAAATAGTTCTAAATAGTTAGTTGATTCTGAAGCGTTGTACATAGTTTTAGACAGTTCTAAATGGTGCTAGACAGTTCTAAACGAGTGTAGAGAGTTCTAGTTCTGGTTTTAGATAATTTTAATTGTTACAAAATCACTACAACGGGTAATGTTGTAGGTTACACCCATAGAGAAAGAAAGATGAGAGAGTTCGATCTCTTACTAAAAATTGGCAACGCGTAGATGGTGCTGTTCCTAGTGGCTGGTCCCACGAACTAATGAAATATCGAGTAGATTTCTTCTATATTTCAAAATTAAAAATGGGTTATATATTCAATTTTATTTTTATAATATTGCTATATTGCAAATTAGAAAATAAGAACAACTTTTGTTAATAAGAAATGTATTTATTTAAAGATATAAAAAATTGAATACATACATATAACCTAAATAGACAATACAATACATACAATTCAACATTTGAACATCATTCGACAAAATTAATAACATTTGACACTAATAACAAAAATATAAATAGAATACGTATATAATACATGTGGAATAGAAAATATAATAGAATAAATAGAAACGTAAAACAAATACAACCTTGTTACTTCGAAGTCAGATGAGTCAGATCCCTCAGTTCCCAGGGCCTACAACGTCCAATTCTTGTAGAGCTAACTAAAACAGAAAAAAATATGAGCAGCATCTAATTTAGGAAAATAACAAAAACAGCGAGATGTATTAGAAAAACATAGAAATCAAATATTATAAGTAGATAGCTATGTAGAAAAATGATCTTCACAGAGTCTCATTTGTTTGGATGAATGAGACAAACCTATAAATAATAATCCTATAATATCAAACCATTTTTTCTTTCACTCAAATTTGAAGGGAATTTAAAAAAAACGCTTTTGAAGATTATCTTCGGGGGGACAAATTTACAAATTTTTGCATCTTGGTGATGCACATTTACGAGCCTTCCTTCGAATTGGTGTTGACATTTTAAATTTGCAAACAAATATAAATATAAAAAATAAAAATACTCACAATTTAGGTTAAGCACTAAAATGGCGTTAATTAAAACAACGGACGGGCGACGACCGACGACCCGCGATCGCGATCGTTTCCATACGGATCTCATATAAAATTAGCCAATCAAAACAATCGAAATTCATTTAATTTTTCGATAGCAGCGCCTCTAACGGCTGGTCTTCGTTCTAAAGGCATGTTGTCGACTCTGTCCTATGCATTAAACAGTCTCTTTTATTTTGTCTATGGTTACACCCGTAAGAGTATGCAACACTTTCTACAACATTAACCTTTGTTACCTCCACAGACCAGGGATATAATGAATTCAATTTCAATTTAAAATATGTTTATTGGTTTGATTAGAAATTTTTACATTGTATATTATTATATTTCCCTATAGTCCCTGCTGTAGGAATACATTTCCTTTTCAGGGCAATGGGATATAATGACAGGGCAAAAGATGTTAAATATGCGGACAATGGACAGGAATAATAACTTAAAAAAGTATATGGTCCATTAAAGTATTAAAACTTAAAAGGAGGCGGTATTATCTGACATAAATGACATGATGATTATCGATGAATGTTTATTTTTTGTAACTAATTAATTAATATTGATTAATTATTATTGTGTCCGTGTGGTTTATTTGTAATTTGTTGATTAACGGGTAGAATGGAATTATATAACGAATAAGAAACGAGGTATATTTTAACAATAATAATCATATACATATAAATATACAGTATATAAATGTACAGTGCATTTCTTTAATGCCCCCCCCCCAACTTGAGATAATGAAACTAATGCATGATTACTATATTTTGGAGTAAAATTGACAGATGAAAATTTCAAGATGGCGACTGGGCGCCATCTTGGGAAATAAATTTAAATGGAAAGGAGGGTCTTGTGACACATCATTTTGAAGCTCCTGACAAATACTCTACAACCCTGGAATATAAAGTCAATATCTGCACCTGCTACAAAATGGCGGACATTTAATAATTACCTGAATACATCGACGTTTAAAGTCATAATTTGAGGAAATAAGCTTAGTTCAGTTCAGAAGATGCTCGAAATGGTTGCCTTGAACTTCTTGACATAAAAACAGCCTATCCGGAATTTCACGCCGAACATTTTCGAACATAGTAACGTCTATATTTCTACAAATATCTTTAATTTATTCTCGTATATCCAATATTGAAGCAGGTTCAGTTTCGTACACTTTTTGCTTCAAATAGCCCCATAAAAAGAGTCTAAAGGTGTCAAATCTGGTGATCGAGCGGGCCACATCCACTAATAAATACAAAATACGACCGTGGGTTTCATACCACAAATCCTTCTTTAATTTGAACTTACCGTAATTGTTACATAAAGTTTTTGTTCGCTTTTATTAACTATACTTTATACTATATACTTTATGAACATATACTTATTTTCGGTTGTTCTGATGGATTTACCGGTTTCAATTCACATTTTTGTGCACTTTGTCGAATTTTGATTTTTAAGATGTAATTTGAATAAAACTTTGAATTATTGTCAAATCGCTTTTTGGGGCTTTTTTTCTATCTCTTCTAAATATATCAACAAATAACACGGAACAGTAAAACAACATCATTATCATTTAGAACGCTCCAGAATCATTTAGAACTGTCTAGGACAAGTTAGAACGCTCCAGAATAATTTAAAGCTGTCTAGAACTATTTAGAATCATTTAGACCTGTCTAGAACCATTTAAAATGTTCTAGAATCATTTATAATGCTCCAGAACCGTTTAGATCGCTCCAGAATCATTTAAAGCTGTCTAGAACCATTTAAAACTATCTAGAACCATTTAGAATGTTCTAGAATCATTTATAATGCTCCAGAATTGTTTAGAACTGTCTAGAACCATTTAAAATGTTCTATAATCATTTATAATGCTCCACAATCATTTAGAGCTGTCTAAAACCATTTAGAACGCTCCAGAAACATTTAAAGCTGTCTAGAACCATTTAGAACGTTTTGGAATCATTTAGAACTGCCTAGAACCATTTAGAATGTTATAGAATCATTTATAATGCTCCAGAATCGTTTAAAGCTCTCTAGAACCATTTAGAACGCCCCAGAATCATTTAAACCGGTCTATAGCTAATACATAGAACGATTAAGAATCTTTTAGAACGCTTCAGAATTATATACAACTTAGAAAAACGATATCAGAAACTTTTAATTTATTATACTACAGTAAACCCAAATATTCCGCAAGCATTTTTTTTAATCAATTACTCTTTATGTACTCTAATTAACTGGAGAACTTCATCGACATCTTCTTCAGACCCGATAAAAACTTCAGTCCTTTGGTGAATAGCTTCCGGTTTGATATCCAAAATTGGAATTTCCCCGTTACTCGCCGCTCCTCCCGCATTCGTAACAACATAAGCCATCGGTATAGCTTCGTACATGAGACGTAACTGCAAATAAATAAAATAATTGAACATATACACTCTGTTATTTATAAGATGCGACATAGGGATTCCTGTACAAATGTGCCAAAAGCAAGCTAACTTTTTTACCAAATAACGTTCGTAAAAAATAAAGACAGATTTGAAAAGATCGTCAAAAAATAAGTCGAAATGGACATTAAATTTTCCTAAATTCGTTCTGGTTTAATAAAAAAATGTATAATTAAGTTGAAAAAAGTCATACGTCATATGTCACTATCTAATAATTGTTAAAAGGGGCGGAGATATCTGGAATGGTTTACGCTCTGAAGTTTAAAAATTTTAGCGGGAAGTAATATATGCAATAGGAGTATTTATGGACATTGCAGGGGCTTTTGATAGCACCTCAAATGTAGCCATAAAGAAAGCAATGGTCAGCAGAGGGATACCCGAAACCCTCACTGACTGGACGCAGGCCATGCTTAGAGGCAGGAAACTGTCAACAAGCATGGGAACCGACCAGGTAACAGGAAGTCCAACCGGCGGGTGCCCGCAGGGGGGAGTACTCTCACCCCTGTTGTGGTGCTTAGTGGTGGATGAACTACTGGCAAAACTCACTGAAGCAGGACTCTCGGTATTTGGCTATGCAGATGACATAGCCATAATAGCCAGAGGAAACTTCTTACCAACACTCAGGGACATCATTATGAATGCCCTGAAAATCGTAGAGGACTGGTGCGCTGCTGTTGGCTTGATGGTAAACACAGAAAAGACAGCAGCAGTAATCTTCACCCGGAAATACAAACACCAACCAACAAAGCCGTTACAGCTTTGGGGGGTGGAGATCCCTTATTCCAATACAGTCAATATCTGGGAGGCAACCTAGATACAAAACTGAATTGGAACACCCACCTCGAAACAAAGAGGAAAAAATTCAACAGCACAATGTGGGCTTGTAGAAGAGCCATAGAAAAAACCTGGGGACTAAAACCTAGGGTAACTCTTTGGCTATACCAAACGGTATTAATACCAAGATTCCTGTATGCTGCAGTAGTCTGGTGGCCCAGGGTAGAATTGGTGGGGAATCGGAACCTGTTAAAAAGCCTGCAAGGTAACTACCTGCGGGCTGCGACAGGGGCCATGAGAACCACACCAATTGACGCGCTAGAAATAGCGCTCAATATTCCACCCCTGGACCTAAAAGTGACAAATGTCGCCCGGCAGACAGCATACAGAATGAAATGTCAAGGGGAGTGGAAGGAAAATGGAACTGGACATACCAGGATCCATGTCCTTCGAATCATACCTTTTACATTAAAACAAGACAGAACCTCTAAACGGGTTATGATTGAACATACCTATAGGGTAAAAATACCAACCAGAGAAGAATGGAAGGAACAAAAACCGTTGATGGAACATCAGGGCGAAAACTGGTACTCCGATGGCTCGGGGTGTGGGGACCGCCATGGATCGGGCATCTACGGGCAAAATACCAACTACAGGGAGAGCATATCCCTGGGTGAACATGCTTCGGTCTTCCAAGCCGAAGTATTTGCTATACTGAGATGTGCAGAGCATCTCATAAATAATGGAGCCACACATTCCCGAATAAATATTTATTCGGATAGCCGCGCTGCCCTAGAGGCACTGGCGAAAAACACCACGGTCTCCGCCGTGGTGCGGGACTGCATGCAGAACCATAGAAGGCAATGAGGTAGCCGATAATCTAGCCAGAGAAAGGGCCATGGAGCAACCTGGTAGGCAGATAGTTGGAATGCCCTTTGCAGAAGGTAAAAAATACCTAAACAAACTCCTAGAAAGGGAACATCTCGTTCGATGGAGGAACTCGACAGGCTGTAGGGTATCCAAACAGTTCATGGAACACGCTCAAAAGAAAGGGCAACCGAGCTCTGGGCTATGGACCGTGACAGGCTGAGCAAAACGCTTGGACTACTCACAGGACACGTAGCACTCAGAGCGCACCTATACCGCCTCAAAATAGTAGAGCAGAAAACATGCCGTCTATGTGGGGAGGCTGATGAGGACAGCATACACATACTGTGTCACTGTCCAGCATTATCCTTGGGCAGGTATAATACCTGGGCAGGACCTCATTAGATCCTAGCGATCTCAAAAACACAAGGGCATCCGAACTGCTGAGGTTTACAAATACTTGCGACCTCTGGCAGAATCAATGACCTTGGGAAACAGCGGGAAACAACAAATACTCCATAACAACCAACGTAAAACTGTCAAATGTAAGAATCTCCCTAGTTACTCCAAAACAACCAAAATAAAACCGTCAACGGCGACTTCAAAAGTCTCGTTTTAAGTTCAAAAACGGAGCCGTTTCGAATACGACCCAAATTAATATCAATAAAACCGAAAAAAACGAACCTTCCCTTTCGGCGCCGCCTTCGTAGCCGGATACAAAAATATCCCGCCGTACTTGATCGTCCTGTGCACGTCAGCCACCATGGAACCCACGTAGCGCGCGTTGTACGGCTTCCCCTTGCACGGGTTCTTCTTGTTGTCGACGTACTCCTGGATGGCCTCGCTCCATTGGTGCGTGTAGCCCTCGTTGATCGAATAGATGTTGCCGCGCTTCGGTATTTTCATGTCGTAATCGGTGAGGATGAATTCGCCGATGGTGGGATCGAGCATGAAGCCGTGCACTCCGTTACCCGTCGACATGATTAACATGGTGGCGGTGCCGTAGAGGGCGTAACCGGCCGCCACGACGTTCCGGCCGGACATTAGGACTTCGTCGATGGTCGGTATGGAGTTGTCTTCTTTTTTGAATATGGCGAAGATCGAACCGATCGATACTAGACAGTCGATGTTCGATGAACCGTCGAGGGGATCGAACGCTATGACGTATTTACCTTGGCGTTCGGTTTCTACCTGTGGGTTAAATATATAGAAATTAAATACGGGGTGTCCCAAAATTCACGCCCGTCCTTTCGGAATATGATTCAGTGGGCTAAAACAAATGAAATTTTAAGAGTAAAATTTTTTCGTTTTGTCCTGTGACATTTGTAGACGAGAACATGCTACAGAGGGTTCATGATTCAATTATAAATCGTGCGAATGTTTGCATTGAAGTAGGCGGCGATTTGTTTGAACACCTTTTATAAATTATTCGTTTTTATGTTTTTTTATGTTCTTATGTTTAATAATGTTTCTTTGTTACTTTGATTTAGTTAAAGTTTTAGTTGAATTTCAAAATTTTTGTTTTTTATCAATAACTCGGTTATCAAGGACAAAACGAAAAAAATTTATTCTTAAAATTTAATTTGTTTTAGCCCGCTGAATCATATTCTGAAAGGACGGGCGTGAATTTTGGGACACCCTGTATAATAATAGTACACCATTTCCAACTGTATTTCAGAAAGAGTCAGGTTCGTTTAAGAATGCGTCAATTGAATTTCAGAAAAGTCACTTATATTTCGGAAAGTATCAATTGTATTTTAGAATAGTCAATTTGATTTCTGAAATCACCAATTGAATTTCAGAACAGTGAATTTGATTTCAGAAATCACCAATTGAATTTCAGAATAGTGAATTTGATTTCAGAAATCATCAATGGTATTTCAGAATAGTCAGGTCGATTTCGGAAACGATCATTTGAATTTTAAAATAGTCAAATTCATTTCAGAAATCATCATTTGTATTTCGTAATGCTTCAATATCTATAGCTTTTCAATCTCAATTTCAGAAAAAAATTATAAAAGTATCAGTTCCAGAAGAATAATTTCGATTTCAGAAAAAAATATTTCAATTCCGGAGAGAAGTTGTTTCAAGTCCGAAAAAATAATATAAATTGTGGAGTGGATTGAGTTTTTCTTCTTCCTTAATAAATTGTAATAATAATTGTCATATGATTTCTGCATTCCAAATGGGACTCTGAAATCCTTTTGACGGTTTCCGAAATACGAATGACACTTTCCGAAACACAAATGATAATTTCGGAAATCAAATTGACTATTCTGAAATTCAATTGATGATTTTTGAAATCAAATTGACTATTCTGAAATTCAATTGATGATTTTTGAAATCAAATTGACTATTCTGAAATTCAATTGATGATTTTTGAAATCAAATTGACTATTCTGAAATTCAATTGATGATTTCTGAAATCAAATTGACTATTCTGAAATACAACAGATACTTTCCGAAATATAAGTGACTATTCTTAAATTCAATTGACGCTTTCTGAAATACAACTGGAAAAGGTGTAGAATATGCACAAGTCAAAAAAAATCAGCTTTCACATACGCCATATTGGTAGTAGAATTGTAATATGCAACCCATTTAACGTTGGTGTTTAAGGCTGCCAAAGCACGCCCAGAAATTCATAATTCGTGGGGTAATATAAAACTATTTTTGGTTAAAATTTTCCACAATAGATGGAATGAGATTAGTTTAACTCGCTAGTGGATGTTCCGTGTTTGATTACATTTGACATAAAATCAAACGTACAAAAAAGTAAAATAAGAAATCCTTTTCAAAATATTTTAAATTCCATTTTTTTTCCTGCTATTTGTTTAACTCCACAGAACATATATAAACCAGAAGGGACAACACCGTGAGAATATCGTAGACGTTCTAGAGCGCACCCTTCAGTCGTTAAAAAGTACTAAAGTAATGAATGTTGCATAGTAAAAAGGGGATCGTGTAGTATTGGTTTTCTATTCGACTTTTTTCTTATGACTGATTAATTTACATTATTCAATTTTTGTATAAGTATACATTGTATAAGTTCTACAAAAATTGAATAATATAAATAGCAATTAATTCTCACAAAATAATTGAAGACAAAAACGTTTCATTTAATAAAAAATGTATTAAAAAAATTGGTGAAATCATATTAGGGAACTAATTAAACGTTAATAATTTATTAAAAATGTTAAATAGATACTTCAAAATCAAAATAACTGAAAAACTGACACTATTGGCAACGCTGTCGCTGGTCAAATTTACAAAATTGTTCTGTGATTTGACATTTATGTCAGGCGACACCATAATTTTACAGGAATCTATATCATTATCATTGGCTAAAATTCTAAAATGAGTTTTTTCAATTTAATACAGCCGGTGGATCAATATACTAGAATAATTAACTAGAATAATTACTAGAATTACGTTTTGCCATTTAAATAGCATTGCAAATAAATGGCAGTTTTTGATTGCAATTTTCTTGAATATATAATGAAGTAGAAGAGATTAAAAATAGGAGATATCATTACTTGGAGTCTCTATATTAGTTATAAGAAAGATTCAAATCAATTGATGAAGCCAAATTTGAATCTTACTGGAATTACTGAACCTATGTTTTCCTATTTAAAAACACTCTGAAGTGGCGACCTTAAAAGAAAGAATATCTTTTCGTAGGTAACAATGTAAATCATCTTTATAATATAAAATTAAAAGGACTAAGTATACGGCAACAGTTAAATAAATTCCAATATGGCTTCCATTGGAAGCAAAATTTATTTATCTCCTCTACCTATATTCACTATCTAGTATTATAAGTAGGTAGCTATGGTTAAATACTATTTCATTTACAGCCATATTCACCAACACCAATGACTGTTAAATCGCTAACGGAGAGATAAGTTCTTATCAATCTGTTAAAGTCATATTTTGGCATTCATCAATGTTAGTTAATACTTGACAGTCTGATAAAATAAAAGTAACAGAGCAAAATCGAACTGATAAAAAAAGTAAGAGACTTTTAGACTTTGAACAGAAGTTCAATCCAAATGACGAAATTGTCAAAGTTTTTACGACATTCGATTTATGGGCCACCCTGTATATTTCGAAATAATTTTAAATTGTGCGCCTAAAGGTGCTTAACATTTTTCCTATTTATCATTTTTTCGTATCTATTATAATAACTGAGTAAATGGGCTTTACCGCACTATTGGGTCACCCTGTATATGGGGAAAAAGTATACAAATGGGGAAAAAGTTTATTTTACATTTCACAAAAAAAATTATTCTTGATCAAATTCTCTGCGTGACTTGTAGATCCATATAATCAGGTACAAATTGTTTAAAAAATTGCATGCAGGAATACAGAGAGAACGAAAAATTATGATTTGGACCGAGATAAGTACTTAAGATAAGTAGATAGAGATAAATACGCACAAACTGTTCATTATGCATAATTATGCACAAATTATGCATAATTTTTTTACTACTTTATCACAATTTCAATGAACATTTTGTTCTCTACTACAGTTTGGGCATATTTTTCTCCGTATCCAAATCACTCTTTTTTGTTTTCCCTGTATTTAAGGCAATTTTTTAAACATTTTATACCTGATTGTGGATATACAAAAGTCATGCAGAGAATTTTATCAAGAATATTTTTTTTTGTCAAACTTAAGATAAATTTTTTCCCCGTTTGTATACAACTTTTTGGGACACACTGTAGTGTGCTGAACGATTCTGGACTGTTCTAAATGGTTCAAAAATACAGGGTTTCCCAAAAAACAACAATAAAAACTGGGTGTAACAAAAACTTTTTGTTACAGTTACACAAAAATTTTGTATCGCCTGTACAGGGTGTATCATAAAAATCCCCTTTAAATTCACATTAAAAAATTTTTTTGAAATAGGACATCTTCTTTTGTAGAATAACATGTACAAATAATACGTTTTTGAAAAGTAGAAGAGTATATCTTTCAAACTACCTCTATATGTATACAGGGTGTCCAGAAAATAGATGTCAATAATTCGGGAGCGTATAAATGCCATCAAAATAAGGGTACAACTTCATATAAATTTTATTAATTTGAGCCCCTATTTTTGAGCTAGAGGCCTTTAAACTTGAAAATTTAAAACTTATTTTTACGTTTTATTTACAAGTTATACATGGGAACAATATAAAATTTTTGTGGTTTATTATCTACACCCGTGTGCCCAATTTGGTGATAAAATGAATCCTAGAGTACTATCTGGAAGACAGTGGCGGAATGTTCCCAATGGTTAACAATTCGTAACTTTTATGGGGACAATCTGTATAACACAAACGTATCGTAAATACATTCTTTAATCGATAAACTAACAAAAATGTACTCTTTTCTGGATACCCTGTATACAGGGTGTTTCATTAAGAAAATAAATGACACCCGGTATTGGTAATGCATAATTTCTGTATCCCTTTAACAAAACTTATAATAAAATAAAATATTTTTGATAAAACCGCATGTTTTATGATTAGGCGTTTATAAATTATAAGCTCATTAAAGGGGCTACTTTACATTGGGACACCCTGTACTTCCTCTTAAAGATATAAAATATATGGTGATCCATTTAAAATAACGGAGAAAATGTTACTTTTGCGTTTGGATCCACCCTGTAAGCAGTATAATTAAAATTGACGAAAAATTAATTTTGTACATTTTTAGGAAATTTGCAATGTTGTGAAACCTAAAATTTATTTTTAATTCAATCCATTTAGTTTCTACAAAGGGTTAAACTTAGTACGATATTCGTGGAAAAGTGGTCATTAACTTTTAAACCACTTAGTATAACATTATAGCTAAACGAGCTAAATTCAATTTTTTGAATAAAATACAGGTTATTTCATTCAAAAAAGCACAAGTTTATCTACCACGGAAAAACGCAACACTCTGTATAAATGTAACTAATTTTAAAATATGCATCTTAAAATAATCTACTACTTTTGTAATGAAGGTTTTTAGTCCACATTTGCATGCATATTTTGCCATTATTTAGTGCAAATTTTCCGAGATCTATAAATATACAGGGTGTCCGGAAATTCGGGTTACAAACTCCGGGGGGCTGTAGGGGGTGGTTTGTCAAGCATTTTGAATATAGGAACTTGGTGTCGTTAAAGATGGACCCGTCAAAGAGGACCCGTATCATGGCCTCCGCGATCGCCCGATTTGATGCTCCTTGGTTTTTTTTTTTCTGTAGGGCCGTATGAAATCAAATAGTTTATGAAGGCAAACCCATCCAAGACCAGGCAGAGCTTTTGTGGACAGAATTAGCTTCCGTAATCGTATTAAAATGGTAATTTTGAATATACAGGGTGTTCCTAAACATCGTGTACATCCGAAAGACGGTGATTCCTTGGCTCATTTTATTCATTTTGCTAAAATTTCATAATAAACGTGGGTCCGCAAACGCTTCGTTGTCGATCTACAGGGTGTTGAAATTTTAAGTTTTTTTTGTTTCTTTTTTAGAGCTCCTGCAGTTTTTGAGATATTTAGCTCAAATTAGGTGTAGGATATAGGGTAAAATTTGAGCAGGAGGAGGACACTTTCGACATTTATTATAATGTAATTTAATAGTTATTATTTTGAGTTTTTGTTTTGTAAAATAAATCATTTGTACAGAAAATCGTTTTTAATGTTTTTCTCGATAACGGTCACAGAAACGAAAAAAGTTTAAAAATAAAAGAAATTTCCAAACAAAACAGACAATTCATTTTGTATTTTAGAATCTACCAGCGGCGCACAGCAAAAAAGTTCGGGGAGAAAAAAGGATAAATGACCCCTGAAAAAATATCACCCTGTACAATTCAACAACCATCTGATATACCCAATAATGTGTGCCCTATAAAGCAATCTAGATTCAAAATTTGAGCTAAATATATCAAAGTGCAGGAGCTACAAAGAAAAAGCAAAAAAAAATCTTGAAATTTCAACACCTTGTATATCGATAACGAAGTTACCTATGTTTATATGAACTTTTAGTTATAAAATAAGACAAGGAATCACCCCCTTTCGGATGTACACGATGTTTAGGAACACCCTGTATAGAAATGGTTAATAATGATATACAGGGTGTCCCAATAGTGCGGTAAAGCTCATTTTCTCAGTTATTATAATAGATACGAAAAAATGATAAATAGGAAAAATGTTAAGCACCTTTAGGCGCACAATTTAAAATTATTTCGAAATATACAGGGTGGCCCATAAATCGAAGCCATACCAAACATACCTTTTTTTAAAGGCAATTTGATATATTTTTTATTTCATATTCGATTTCAGCTCGTATTCACGAGTTTCTCAATATAAGCACGAGTTTCTCAATATAAGATTTCATATGACTATACTGAGTATTTAAAAAGTTATGGCCATTTTTATGTTCAAATCGACATGACTTCAAGGCCCTGTATATCAGAATCTGTATCAGATAATGTGAATTTTTCGGTGTCAACACTTTTTGAAAATGGTCTATTTTCACAAAAAATAGTTACATTCTGACAAAATTACAATTTGTATACAGGGTGAGTCAAAACGCAAACATAATAATTACTCGCTTAATTTAAATGGAACACCCTATATTAATAATATCCAATGGGAAGTCTATTTCTTACTGAATCTTTTTTCATAACATTTCCCTATATCTAACTGTCACCTTTTCTGAGATATTTTCAGTTTTATTAAAAAATGTCCAGTTTTTGATGTTATAATTTCATTTTTTTATAATTACATTTTTCCTATTTATAATTTTTTCGTATCTATTATAATAACTGAGTAAATGGGCTTTACCGCACTATTGGGACACCCTGTATAATTTTCTCTCCCCAAGTTCCTATACGTTCAAAATGCTTAACTAACCACCTCCCACAACCCCCCGGAGTTTGTAATCTGAATTTCCGGACACCCTGTATAAAAGTGTAGTTTTAGTTTTACCTCTATAACAGTTTCATTTTCTTCTGATATTAATACAGCAACCGAATAGGAGGATTTGATTAAATTGATAAATAATTCGTTAGCCAAAACATCCAATTTTTTCACTTCTTCTCCTTGAACGTTTGTGTTACCGGCCGTTCCAAAACTGGAAAATCGATTATTAATAAATATATATACAGGGTGTTCCAATGAAAAGTAGCCCGTTTAATCTTAAACTTGTAAAAATGTTGTTATGGTGTCTTAATTTCTTATCAAAATCTATATTCTGAAAGATATACTCTTCTACTTTTAAATAATGAAATTTTGTGAAATTTCATTAGTGTCAATTGTAAAGAGGGGATTTTGATAAGACACCCTGTATAAATATGGCTGTCTCACTATAACACGACTTGTAACAAAATAAAATATATCCAACAAAACCGAAAGATTTTATTATTGGCAGTTTAAAAGTTATAAGATAAAAATAGGCTACTTTTCATTGGGACACCCTGTACAATAGTAATAATAAAAATTACCATGACAATTAATATCTAAAATTCCATAATATTATTATTATTATTATTATTGTTATTATTAGATACAATATGGTTTTCGAAGAATGAGAAACTGTAAACAATCATTGAGAGGTCAAATATGATATAGTCATATTATAGATACGAGGGTAAGGAGAAAGGTTCTCAGCTTGAAAAATTGCATTATTCTTCTTATTAAGTTGAAATATTCAGTTAAAGGCGGTTCTAAATGATTCTACTGTGTTCTAAATGGTTCTAGACAATTCTTAATGAATCCGGAGTGTTCTAAAAAAATCTGGAGTGTTCTAAATGGTTCTGAAGCGTTCTAAATGATTCCAAACAGTTTTAAATAGATCTGGAGCGATTTAAATGATTTTAGACTTTAAACTCTGTTCTTAATGAATTTAGAGCGTTCTGAATGGTTCTAAATAGTTTTAAAAAATTCTGGAGCGTTCTAAATGACTATAGAGCATTCTAAATTATTTTGGATCGTTCTAAATAGTCCTAGACAATTCTAATTGATTCTGGAGCGTTCAAAATGATTCTAGAGAGTTTTAACTGGTTTTAAAGCGTTCTAATTGGTTTGGACAGTTTTAAAAGATTATGGAAATAGTTCTAGACAGTTCTAAATGAGTCTGGATCGTTCTAAATAGTTCTGAAGCGTTCTAATTGGTTTTAGACAGTTCCAAATGATTCTGGAACGTTCTAAACAGTTCCAAATGATTCTGGAACGTTATAAACGGTTCTAGTTGGTTCTAAATATTCCTGGAGCGTTCTAAATGGTTCTGAAGCGTTCTAAATGGTTCTGAAGCGTTCTAAATGGTTTTAGATAGCTCTAAATGATTCTGGAACATTCTAAACTGTTCTAAACAGTTCCAAATGATTCTGAAACGTTATAATCGGTTCTAGTCGGTTCTAAATATTTCTGGTGCGTTCTAAATGGTTCTGAAGCGTTCTAAATGGTTTTAGACAGTTCTAAATGATTCTGGAACGTTATAAACGGTTCTAGTCGGTTCTAAATATTTCTGGAGCGTTCTAAATGGTTCTGAAGCGTTCTAAATGGTTTTAAAAAGTTCTAAATGATTCTGGAACGTTATAAACGGTTCTAGTCGGTTCTAAATATTTCTGGAGCGTTCTAAATGGTTCTGAAGCGTTCTAAATGGTTTTAAAAAGTTCTAAATGATTCTGGAACGTTCTAAATGGTTCTAGACAGTTCCAAATGATTCTGGAACGTTACAAACGATTCTAGACGGTTCTAATGTTTCTGGAACGTTCTTAATGGTTCTAGATAGTTCTATAATTAATTGTAAATGTCCCAAAGAGAAAACAACAATGTTTGCTGATTGCAGCGCTCCCTCAGTGTATCAGACCAAGAACTTTTCATCCTACCCTCGTATATAGTAATCGTGACAGTTATAAATGACAATGGAGCGTTCTAAATGATTCTGGAGTGGTCTAAATAGTTCTAGACAGTTCTAAATGAGTCTCGAGCGTTCTAAATAGTTCTGAAGCGTTCTAATTGGTTTTAGACAGTTCCAAATGATTCTGGAATGTTTTAATCGGTTCTAGACAGTTATAGAAGATTCTGGAGCGTTCTAAATGAATAAGGAGCATTCTCTAAATGGTTCTGAAGAGTCCTAAATGGATTTAGACAGTTATAAATGAAAATGGAGCGTTCTAAATGATTCTGGAGTGGTCTAAATAGTTCTAGACAGTTCTAAATGAGTCTCGAGCGTTCTGAATGGTTCCAAACAGTTTTAAAAGATTCTGAAGCGTTTTAAACGACTATGGAGCATTCTAAATGATACTGGAGCGTTCTAAATTATAGTTCTAGGTAATTCTAAACGGTGCTGAAGCGTTGTAAATGGTTTTAGACAGTTTTAAAAGATTCTGGAGCGTTCTAAATGGTTCTAGTTAATTCGAAATGTTTTAGCGCGGGAACTTTTCACCCTACCCTCGTTAAAAATAGTATTTTACTAGTACTTACAGTTTGGTAATACCGGCCCTTCTTACAGCGCTGCTGATTGTTTTAACTGCCGTTTGAATAGAGGCCAATAGTTGAGTCAATTCACCCGTTGCGTGCGGTATTTTTTTCTGTTCGGCCAAAAAGAATCTCGTCAAAGAGATGGTATTCGAATCCAACGAGGCCATCTTGCTGTCTCGGTAGTCTCGTTACCTTTACTTGAATAATTACAGAAAAGGTCAAGTTAAATAATTAATAACCTTTAAAATGGTTATCGCATTTTTAACTTGTTGAGTTGTGACACAGTACACTGTGTGTCAGATAAATGTAGAGTGGAAACGTAAACGTATTTATATTTATAGCACTTGATACGAGATAAGCGAGAGTAATACAAATAATAAACGCATTGTGCAATTGTGTAATAAAAAATATATAAATTATTATTATAGTTCATTGTTTGATGATTTTATACTATATAAATGGATTTGTTTATCACAACATTTTGTAACTGGATGGTTAACTACAAAAGAGTTAAGAGGCCATAATTAACTAATAGTTGTCAGTTGTCAATATTTATGCAAAACCCGAAATGTTTTTTGTTTTGTTATAATAATCTTCTATATATTTTTTTATTAAAGCGTTAAACTTATTTGCCTTTTTGTTTTGTTAAAAAGTATATTAGTAATTCGAAAAGTTATGTAATTAGATGTAAGTACTACATAGTACAAGACCATCTGGAGCATAAAACAAAAATGACAGCTACTGTCAAGTCACAAGTGTCAAAATTACTTCATATATTTCATAACCAAAACCGAAAGAAAATATGAAAAAGTTATTTTTATTATCGCACAAAACCGTCCGGTAGAAAATTTGTTAACAATACGGAAAAAATGAGAGATTTCTCCCCAATGAAATGAACAACAAAATCGTCTTGAGCTACAATGAAAGCCTACTCCGATCCTCCGACATCGAATTACTAAAAGGTCCATACTGGCTGAACGATTCCATAATATCATTCTATTTCGAATACTTGCAGACGGACCTGTTCCGAGGCTCCGACAGCGTGCTGTTCGTGTCCCCCGAAGTCACCCAATGCGTGAAAGTGTCCCCGTTATGCGAGCTCGATATATTCCTGCAACCGCTCGATTCCAAAACCAGAAACTTCATCTTCTTCGCTTTGAACGACAACGAGGTGACCGACGTCTCGGGCGGCTCCCACTGGAGCCTCCTGGTGTTCTCGCGCCCCGAACGGATGATCTACCACTTCGACTCGTCGCACGGCTGCAACGACAACCAGGCCATCGAGCTGGGCGAGAAGATTCTAAAGTACTTCTCGATGCCCTATCAGGGCAAGTTCCAGAACGCGCCCTGCCTGCAACAGAACAACGGGTACGATTGCGGGGTGCACGTGTTGTGCAACACGGAGCGATTGGCCAGTTACGCGGTGCACTACGGGAGGATATCGGGCTGTCCGCAGTTGCCCTCGGAGCAGGTGGTTGCTAAAAGAAAGGAGGTGCTGGGCATTATAAACAGATTGAAATTTCGTTATTGATGTTTTAATAAAGGTGGTGTTCGAATTGATTTTGGAATTTCAGTGATTTCCTCAGGTTATGTTGGATAATTGAATTGTTTTAAACAGTTCTAAATGATTGTCTGTCTGGAGCGTTTTAAATTATTCTGGTGCATTCTAAATAACTGGAACGTTTTAAATGGTTCTAGACACTTTTTAAATGATTCTGCAGTATTCTAGATAGATCTAAATAATTCTTCGTTATTGATGTTTTAATAAAGGTGGTGTTCGAATTGATTTTGGAATTTCAGTGATTGCCTCAGGTTTTGTGGGATAATTGAATTGTTTTAAACAGTTCTAAATGATTCTAAATGAATGAAGCGTTCTAAATGGTTTAAGACAGTTTTAAATGATTGTAGACAGTTCTAAATGGTTCTGAAGCGTTCTAAATAATTATAGAGGGTTCTAATTAGTCTGAAGCGTTATATATGGTTTTAGACAGTTTTTAAATGGATCTGCAGTATTCTAGATTGTTCTAGACAGTTCTAAATAATTCTGGAGTGTTCCAAATGATTATGGAGCGTTCTAAAAGGTTCTGAAGCGTTCTAAATGGTTCTAGACAGTTCTAAATGATTTTGAAGCGTTATAAATGACTAAGGAGCGTTCTAAGTAGTTCTAAAGGGTCCTAAATGGTTTTAGGCAATTATAAATGATTCTGGAGCGTTGAAAATGAAAAAGGAAATGTTAGGCATTATAAACAGATTGAAATTTCGTTATTGATGTTTTAATAAAGGTGGTGTTCGAATTGATTTTGGAATTTCAGTGGTTCCTTACGATTTTGTGGGATATTCATTCTAAATAACTGGAACGTTCTAAATGGTTCTAGACAGTTTTTAAATGATTCTGCAGTATTCTAGATAGATCTAAATAATTCTGGAGTGTTCCAAATGATTATGGAGCGTTCTAAACGGTTCTGAATCGTTCTAAATGATTTTTAAAGAAAGGAAATGTTGGGCGTTATAAACAGATTGAAATTTCGTTATTAATATTTAAATAAAGGTGCTCCGATTTTGTTGGATAATTGAATTGTTTTAAACAGTTCTAAATGATTACCTGGAGCGTTCTAAATAACTATAGATGGTTCTAATTAGTTCTGAAGCGTTTCAATTGGTTCTAGACAGTTTTAAATGATTCTCTGGAGTGTTCCAAATGATTATGGAGCGTTAGAACCGGTTCGGGAGCGTTTTAACTGATTCTAGACAGTTCTAAATGATTCTAAAAGAAAGGAGATGCTGGGCATTATAAACAGATTGAAATTTCGTTATTGATATTTTAATAAAGGTGCTGTTAAATTGATTGGAAGTTCAGTGATTTCCTCTGATTCTGTGGGACAAATTGTTTTAAACAGTTTTAAATGATTACCGGGAGCGTTCTAAATGGTTCAAGACAGTTTTAATCGATTCTAGACAGTTCTAAATGATTCTAGAGCGTTCTAAATGACTATAGAAGGTTCTAATTAGTTCTGAAGCGTTTTAAATGGTTTTAAACAGTTCTTTCTAACAGAATGGAGAGGGGTTGGGCCTTATAAATTGAAAATTAGTTATTAATAAACGTGCTGTTGAATTGTTAGAAATTTCAGTGACTCCCACCGATTTTGGGGAATAATTAAAATTCTTAAAAATTTCTGAATGATTCTGGAGCCTTCTAAATGACTATGGAGCCTTCTAAATGACTATGGAGCCTTCTAAAATGGTTATAGACACAGTTTTTAAATGATTCTGCAGTGTTTTATACAGTTCTAAATTATTCTGGAGTGTTCCAAATGATGACTAAGGAGCGTTCTAAATAGTTCTGAAGTGTTCTAAACGGTTTTAAACAGTTTCAAACGATAATTTCGTTATTAATATTTTAATAAACGTGCTGTTGAGTTGATTGGAATTTCAGTGATTAACTTCAATTTTTCGGGACAAATAAATTGAAAAATTAGTACAACGAGAAGCCCGGTTTTTATTATAAAAATGTGTAACAGTTAATACAAAATAATGCGCAAATCTCAACGTGTAAATATAAATATTAGGTGTGTATGAACTTTTATGTTTTACAATCCGAGAATAAATATGTATAATAGTTATTCTCGCGACTAAAAATGCAACACTCTTTAAATTTAATCCATTGTTAATTTAGTTATACGAGGGTATGGTGAACAGTTAATCGGCCTGACAACGAAAGACAGAGATTTTTTCTTGAAAAATTACATTATTCTTCTTATTAAGTCGAAACATTTAGTTCGAGACAGTTCTAAATGATTCTGGAGCGTTCTAAACGGCTCTAAAGAGTTCTAAATGAGCTTGGAGCGTTCTAAATAGTCCTGAAGTGTTCTGAATGGTTTTAGACAGTTCTAAATGATTTTGAAGCGTTCTAATTGGTTCTAGAACGTTCTAAATAGTTTTAGACAGTTTCAAAAGATTCTGGAATGTTCTAAACAGTTCTAAACGATTCTAGAGAGTTCTAAACGATTTTGTAGATTGTTCTAGACAGCTCTAAATGATTCAAGAAGAGAACTTTTTACGATACCCTCCTAATTTAGTAGTATCAATGTTAAGGCAGGTGAAAAAAAAAAAAAAAACTAAAAAATTTGGCACTTAACATATTATAAAAAAATTATTAAAACGAAAATGTTTGCAATAAAACATTGCATAAAATACCCAAACATGCACTTTGGTAAGACACAGATGATTTATTACAATTATCTTTAATAACCAAGTAGGCATTTGTATATTTCCTTTAAAAATATGTACTTATTTATATACTTTTATAGATACTTAACAGTTTATCATTATACTATAGGCCTCGTTTTGTGTAAAATTAAATTAACCCGTTGATTACAAAGGCAATTTCCAGATTATCCTGCCCGAGAAGTCAAGGTACTTTAAATCACTACGAGATAACTCGTAGTTCGGCGTCCTAGCCCAGAATGTACTACGAGTTATCTCGTAGTTGGCAGTCAACGGACGAAAGAATCCTAAATTGGTCAATTGGTTTCAACAATAGTACATTGTATAGTCTTTTTAGGATTGCAAACGCTGAGCAAAAATATTAAATTTGTATCAATTAATCAATTCTAAAGTGGTATTGAATACTTCCTGTTATTTACGAGGGTAATGTGAAAAGTTCTCGGCCTGACAACGAAAGACCGCGATTTTCTGTTGAAAAATTACATTATTATTCCTAGTAAGTCGAAATCATTAGTTCAAGACAGTTCTAAATGACTATATGGAGCGTTCTAAATGGTTTTAGAAAGTTCTAAATGATTCTGGAACGTTCTAAACAGTTCCAACTGATTCTAGAACGTTACAAACGGTTCCAGTCGGTTCTAAATGTTTTTGGAGCGTTCTAAATGGTTTTAGACAGTTCTAAATGATTCTGGAACGTTATAAACGGTTCTAGTCGGTTCTAAATGTTTCTGGAGCGTTCTAAATGGTTCTGAAGCGTTCTAAATGTTTGTAGACAGTTCCAAATGATTCTGGAACGTTACAAACGATTCTAGACGGTTCTAAATGTTTTTGGAGCGTTCTAAATGGTTTTAGACAGTTCTAAATGATTCTGGAACATTCTAAACTGTTCTAAACAGTTCCAAATGATTCTGAAACGTTATAAACGGTTCTAGTCGGTTCTAAATGTTTCTGGAGCGTTCTAAATGGTTCTGAAGCGTTCTAAATGGTTGTAGACAGTTCCAAATGATTCTGGAACGTTACAAACGATTCTAGACGGTTCTAAATGTTTCTGGAACGTTCTAAATCGTTCTAGATAGTTCTATAATTAATTATAAATGTCCAAAAGAGGAAACAACAATGTTTGCTGATTGCAGCGCTCCCTCATTGTATCAGACCGAGAACTTTTCATCCTACCCTCGTATATAGTAATCGTGACAAATGAAGAATAAATGATCTACAACAAGATTAGTTACCAATAAAATTAATACTGCAATACAAATACAATAAAATATATATTCGTATGTATTATAAATATATGGAATATTTATAAATACCTGGATTAATATATTTATCCATATATGGAGATTGTGCACCTATATGGAAAATATTCTTACGCGCAATAGTAGAATGTAGACAACAACAGCAAAAATATATATAAATATTTCCTTTATACAAGTATATAATATATTATAAAGTATTTAAAATAAAAATTCACATCTAGAAAAATATTGTAAATTTAAAAGCACAATAAAAATCTCATCGGGTCACTGTGATCAACTTGAATATTTTCAATTTCGTTTACAAGTCGAGTTCGTACTAAATATTACAATTCTTAAATATTTTGTGATCACAAGATAATTTTTAGGTTAATGGAATTCAAAAAGTAGAGATATTGGCCGGTATTCAGCGCCCCACTTTAAATATAAACATAGCTTTAGCTGGGCTTTAGCTAACGTAAACAAAGTCCCTAGTTACTCCATAACAACAATGTAAAACTGTCAATTGAAAGAATCTCCTTAGTTACTCCATAACAACCAATGTAAAACTGTCAAATGAAAGAATCTCCTTAGTTACTCCATAACAACCAATGTAAAACTGTCAATTGAAAGAATCTCCCTAGTTACTCCATAACAACAATGTAAAACTGTCGTTAAGTTAAAGACGCGACCTTAAAGTCGTGTTTAAGGTTAAAATGGGGCGCTGAATGTTATTACAAAAAATGTATAAAACATTAAAAAACAAATACAAAGTACCGTTTACAAATGCCATTTATAACAAAGTTAATGTAGAACTGAACCAATTCACTAAAAAAAAAAAAATACTCGAAAAACTATCAAATTATCTCTACTGATTGTCCATATAAAGAGAATCATTTACGCCTGTATAGAGGGCGGTACCCATCCTCCGAAGGCTTTTTCCATTTCTCTGGCTACAGCCAAGCACAACCTGTCGTTTCCATCGCCAGCCACCACTTGCAGACCTATAATATATGGAATGGAAAATAATATATAAATAATATGTGGAAAAAATTAAAATTATGCAAATAAAATGACAATTTAATGGGCCTCAATTTCCACTTTTTCTATTTTTTTCATATTTTTTACGTTTTTGTGAAGTTTATCCATTTTTCCCATTTCTTCGAGTTTTTTCACTTTTCTGTTTTTCCATTTTTTTCCCAAGTTTTTCCGTTTTCTCCACTTTTTTATATTTTTCCATTGTTTCTATGTTGTCCATGTTTTTCAACTTTTTCCATTTTTTCCATGTTTTTTCATTTGTTCCAGTTTTTTCACTTTTCTATATTTTTTTAAATTTTTTCTATTTGTTTCAGTTTTTCCATTTTTTCCCTTTTTTCATGGTTTTCCAATTTTTCATGTTTTTTACAATTTTTCATATTTTTTCCATTTTTCTGCAGGTTTTTTTCTCTTTCTTCTATTCGTTCGATTTTTTTTTTCATTTTTCCCATTTTATTCATCTTTCCAGTTTTCTCCATTCCTTCAATGTTTTTGAACAAATTTTCAAATTATAATTTGCCCTTCTTTAGGTCTTTAGGTACCTACTAAGGAAAGAATGGGAAAAATGAAAAAAACTGGAAAAACCTAAAAAAGTAAAAATTCGTACAAAAAATGGAAAAATAATCGACAAAATGCAGTTTGCACATTTGTCCTTCCTTACCTATATCCTATAGACAACCCAGTCTTATCCAGACCCATTGGGTTAGTGGATGCCAGCAGACCCAAAATGTTTATAACAGCAGTGTACGAAAAATTGAACGGTTTTAACAGGGGGTTGTGTAAATGTTTTTTCACGTTGTCCATGTTTTTCCACTTTTTTAATGTTTTCTACTTTTTAAATGTTAATGGTTTTCCGTGTTTTTCCATATTTTTCAATTTTTTCCATATTTTTTAATTTTTTCCAATTTTTCATGTTTCCACTTTTAACTTGTTTTTCTACTTTTTCCATGTTTTCTCACTTCTTCCAGGTTTTTCCACTTTTTTAATGTTTTTTCTTGATTTATCCATGTTTTTTACATTTTCTCCACGTTTTTTTTCCACTTTTTTAATGTTTCCTACTTTTTTCATGTTATTGCTTTTTAAATGTTTTTCCCTATTTTTCAATTTTTTCCATATTTTTTGAATTTTTTTCCAATTTTTCATGTTTCCACTTTCATCTTTTTTTTTTTCATTTTTTCCATTTCATGTTTTCTCACATTTTCCGTATTTTTCCTCTTTTTCCATATTTTATCCATTTATTACTTCTTTCATGTTTTTTCTACTTTTCCATATTTTCCACTTTTTTTTTAATTTGTTCCAGTTTTTTCCATTTTTTCCCATTTTCTTCCATTTTTCAAAATTTTTCCATTTGTTCCAGTTTTTTTTTATTGTTCCAATTTTTTCCAAGCATTCCATTCTTTCTAATTTTAGGAAATAACAAAAGAAATGACCCACTTAAAGAAAGAAATAACCATCGGAGATTAATTCATTCAAATAATGCAAAACATATAGTATTCTTATTAAATATGCATGGAAAAAATGGAAAAACAAAAAAAAAACAGTAAAATCAAAAAAAAAAAAACCGAAAAAACACACAAAAATGGTGAAATATGCAACGATATGTAGTTTGCATAAATTACTTACCTATAGGCAATCCGTTTTTATCCAGACCCATTGGGCAATGGGTAGCGGGCAGACCCAAAATGTTTATCACAGCAGTGTAAGAAAAATTGAACGGTTTTATTAAGGGCTCGTTGTGATAAGGAGCCGATGTCGGATGAGTGGGATAGAGAAACACCCCGTCGTCGCCGAGGATATCCAGTAATTCCTGGCGCAGGTTGTTCCTCTCCTGGAAAACACCAGTAATTTTACAAGAAAAAAAAAAAGCTGTGAATTTGGAAAAACGTGAGTAAAGTGAGACACATGGGAAAAGTTATGGAAAAAACGAAAATTATGAAAAAATTGGAAAAACATGGAAAGAATGGAAAAACGTGACAAAAAGTGAAAAAACGTGGAAAAAAGTGAGAAATCTTGGAAAAAGTAAAAGAACATGGAAAAAGTGACAAATCATGGAAAATGGGAAAACGGAAAAAACGGGAAAATGGAAAACGTGACAAAACAAGAACAAAAGTAGAATAAATAAATAAATAATAAACTGCAATAAATGCTAAACAATTGAGAATAAGTGACAAAACATGGGAAAAGTGAGAGAAATTGGAAAACATAAAAAAAGTGAACAAACAGGGAAAAAGTGACAAAATATGGACAAAAGTGGTAAAACATGGAACAAATGCATAACAATTAAAAAAAAAGAGAAAATGTGAGAAAATATAGGAACAGTGGGTAAAATGGGAGAACATGAAAAAAGGGAAAGAACACGGAAAAAGTGAAAAACATGGCAAAAATGGGAAACGGAAAAAACGGGAAAATGAAAAAGGGGCAAGACATGAACAAAAGTAGAAAAACCTGTAATAAATGTAAAACAATTAAGAAAAAGTGACAAAACATGAGAAAAATGAGTAAATTGGGAAAACATGAAAAAAGTGAAAAAACAAGGAAAAAGTGAAAAACGTGGAAAAAGTGACAAAACATGAAAATAGTGAAAACACGAAAAAGATGACAAAACATGGAATAGATGGAAAACATGACAAAAAGTGGAAAACATGGAAAAAGTGACAAAACATGGACAACAGCGGAAAAGAATTGGAGTAAATGCAAAAAAAAATCAAGGAAAACATGGAAAAAGTGACAAGACATGGAAAAAGTGGAAAAACATTAAAGAAATGACAAAACTTTGAAATAGTGGAAAAGCATAATGTGTAAAATCATGAAAAAGTGGAAATATATAAAAAAAAGTGAAAAACATGGAAAAAGTGACAAAACATTGAAAAAGTGGAAAAAATGGAGAAAATGGAGAAAATAAAAAACAAATATAAAGTGGAACAACAAAAATTGGAAAAAGAGAAAAAACATGCAAAAATGGGAAAACTTAACAAAAAGTAAAAAACATGTAAAAACGGAAAACATGAAAAAATTGAGAAGACATGCTCGTGTTTATGTTAATAATTCAAAATTTCAAAATTCATAATTTTTTTTAAAGTTTCAAAATGTAAAATTTATGTTCATGTTTCTTCTAAATTTATTTGCACATTTGCAAACATGAAAGAAGTCGAAAAACGTGGAAAAAGTAAGAAAACATAGAAAAGAACATAAAAAAGTATTCCAAAAGAGGAAAAACATGAAAAAAGGGACAAAGCATGGGAAAGGTAGAAAAACATAGACAAAAGAGGAAAAACGGAATAGATGCAAAAAATCGAAAAACCATGGAAAAAATATATAAAAGAAGTGTTTAAACATGAAAAGAGAGGAAAGACATTCAAACAAGTGGAAAAGCATGGAAAAATGGAAAAACATAAAGAAAATAGAAAAACGCGAAAAAAGTGAAAAATGAAAAAAGATGGAAAACTTGGAAAAACTTTTACCTGCACCAAGTAATCGTACTTGGCGTCTCCGTATTGACAACCGCCCTTTTCTGCCAAACAGGTTACGATTCCGATGAAAGTGTGCTCTGACATGCCAAATACCCATTTTACCAACTCCAACCAAGGATTAATCGCTCCGTCTAAATTGGCCAAGTGTTGGTTAAATTTCGGACCGTTCGAGGTTTTCATATTGGCGAACCACATCGGACCGCTTTTCGAGAATCTCCTGTAGTTGACCTGTGAGGGAAAAAAAATACATTTTTATTGGATTTAAAGAATCAGTAATATGTACGAATGTGGGGTGAAAAGTTCTCGGACTGATATACAATGAGCAATCGGGAAAAATTCGGCTTTCCTCTTTGGGGCGTTTAGAATTCATTATAAAACTGTCTAGAACCATTTAGAAAGCTCCAAATTTATTTAGAACTGTCTATAACCGTCCAGAACGCTCCTGAAGCATTTAGAACTGTCTAGGACCATTTAGAACGCTCCAGAAACATCTAGAGCGCTGCCGAAATATTTAGAACTGTCTAGAACCATTTAAAACATTCCAGAATCATTTGGAACTGTTTAGCACCATTTAGAAGACTCCAGAAATATTTATGCCCGGTTTCTCGACTCGGCGATAACCAACAGTTAACATTTTAACCTTTCAAGTTAACTTTTCAATAAACTCCAGTTGACTTTCGGAATCGGGTTTCTCGACTCTAAATCCAAGTTTAGGTATGCAACAACTATAAAGTTAACCCCTCCCAGTTTAGTTAACTTCTCAAGAGTAAGCGATAGGTTAACGCGAAAGATCGAAAAACCGGGCATTAGAACGCTCCAAAACCATTTAGAACGCTCCAGAAGCATTTAGAACTGTCTAGAACCATTTAGAACTTTCCAGAAATATTTAGAACGCTCTAAAAACATTTAGAACCTTCCAAAAAGAATTAGAATTGTCTGGAGAAGCATTTAGGACGCTCCAGGAACATTTAGAACTGTTTAGAAGGCTCCAAAATCATTTAGAATGCTTTAAAACCATTCAGAATGCTTCAGAATCATTTAGAATGCTTCAGAATCATTTAGAATGCTCCAAAACCATTTAGAAGGTACCAGAATCATTTAGAATGCTCCAAAACCATTTAGAATGCTCCAGAATCATTTAGACTGTTTCGAAACCTTTTAGAAGGCTCCAGAATCATTTAGAAGGCTTCACAATTATTTAGAATGCTCCAAAACCATTTAGAATGCTCCAGAATAATTTAGAATGCTCCAAAACCATTTAAAAGGCTTCAGGATCATTTAGAATACTCCAAAACCATTTAGAATGTTCCAGAATCATTTAGAATGTTCCAAAACCATTTAGAATGTTCCAAAACCATTTAGAATGCTCCAAAACCATTTAAAAGGCCCCAGAATCATTTAGAATGCTCCAAAACTATTTAGAATGTTCCAAAACCATTCAGAATGCTCCAGAATAATTTAGAATGCTCCAAAACCATTTAAAAGGCTTCAGGATCATTTAGAATACTCCAAAACCATTTATAATGTTCCAGAATCATTTAGAATGCTCCAAAACCATTTAAAAGGCTCCAGAATCATTTAGAATGCTCCAAAACTATTTAGAATGTTCCAGAATCATTTAGAATGCTCCAAACCCATTTAGAAGGCTCCAGAATCATTTAGAATGCTCCAAAACCATTTAAAACGCTTCAGAATCATTTAGAATGCTCCAAAACCATTTAAAAGGCTCCAGAATCATTTAGAATGCTCCAAAACTATTTAGAATGTTCCAGAATCATTTAGAATGCTCTAAACCCATTTAGAAGGCTCCAGAATCATTTAGAATGCTCCAAAACCATTTAAAACGCTTCAGAATCATTTAGAATGCTCCAAAACCATTTAAAACGCTTCAGAATCATTTAGAATGCTCCAAAACCATTTAGAACGATTCAGAATCATTTAGAATGCTCCAAAACTATTTAGAATGTTCCAGAATCATTTAGAATGCTCTAAACCCATTTAGAAGGCTCCAGAATCATTTAGAATGCTCCAAAACCATTTAAAACGCTTCAGAATCATTTAGAATGCTCCAAAACCATTTAAAACGCTTCAGAATCATTTAGAATGCTCCAAAACCATTTAGAACGATTCAGAATATTTTAAGATTGACTAAAACCATTTAGAACACTCTATAGTCATTTAGGAGAATCCAGAATTATTGATAATTCTTTACAACCATTTACAACTCTTCAGAACAATTTAGAACGTTCCAGAAGCATTGAAAACTATCCAGAACCATTCAGAACGCTCTAACGGTCTTTCGGCGTTGCCAAACCGATAACTTTTCACCTTATCCTCGTACAAAAACCTCGTTCTCTCCAAACCTTCGTCGCCTGAATTCCATAAGCCTTCTCCAAATGCTTAGCCACCTTGCCGAAGAGCTCTTTGATTTCGGGCGCCACCGGCGACACCAATCGCGAGCCGGTATCGTTGTCCTGATAGTACCATTTGATCTTTTTCACGTCGACCGGCTCGTCCAATCTCAATTTGGCGCTTTTGCCGCCCGCTATGATCTTCAACAAGGGCGCCAGATCTTCGGCCCTTCGACACATCGGGCCCAATCCGAGGAACCGGTTCTGTTCGTCGGAATTCGGTTGCGGATAGTTGCCGTGATTCGGGACGATCAGAGCGGACGGTTTGTGGCCGAAGATGCCGTTGAAGAAGGACGGCATGCGAATGGAACCGCCGATGTCGGAGCCTATGCCTGTACCGGGAAAAAGTTAAAAGTACCAGGTTAAAAGTACCGATGAAGAAGGTTAGTATATCTCGCAAACTAATCGTCGTAGAGACTTGCGGTAAAAAATCTTACGACTAAATCGGTCAAAAGAAAATGCTGGAAATAATTTTTAGGTCTCTAAAATGGCCGCTAGGGGGAGTATCCGCCATCTTGATTTTTAAAAGTCATTTTTTCGAAATTTTTCTAAATAAATGTATCAAAAATGTGTTTTATTTTGATAGTTAGGATAATTTCGATTATTTTTTGTTATATATTTTTGACTCTATCTTTTAAAATAAAGTGGTGGGGGTGGTTTGAATATTTTGACAAATAAATGTTAATAACTTTTAAACGGCTAAACCGATTTTCAAAAAAACGGAATTGTTGAAAAGAGCATTCTTTGGTCTATAATTTACACTATACAAGATATTATTTTAATTGCGTGCTTGGCCGCAAGATGGCGCTTTTCGACATTACTTTAAAAAACACCTATTTTCTCAAAAAATTTTAATGAAACGATATAACTTTTTCTTTGGAGAAAAATAGTCAAATAATTGCCAAACAAGCCTGTAAAAACCGCATCTCGATATACCCTTCCTAGCCTAAAATATATCTAAAAAAAGAAAAAAATCAAGAAAATGGGTAATTTTTGGTGCACTACAAATATAAAAAACTCTAATTAGCGTTGTTCCATCCACAAAAATAATCAACTTATTAATAATCTTCAAGTATGATATTTAGAAACACCAAGCTAAGTAATATTCATTCAAAAATTATTGGATTTCCCTTCTATTCACACTAGTTGAGAACAAAAGAAATAACCATGTCGTGGAAAATAAAAACGGACGATTTAGTCAAGTTTTTTTTTTACCGCAAGTCTTTACAACAATTAGTTTGCGAGATATGGCCGAGAGCCGTTCTTAGAGGACCACCCTGTACAAGAAAGTAAAATAAGATATCCTTTTCAGAATATTTTAAATTCAATTCTTTTCCCTGCTATTTGAAATGATATAGGTAGGGTTTTAAAAATAGTCATTAAAGTGCTCAAAAAGTATTCCGGTGCACTGGAAATACCTTATTTCATATTACCTGCCCTTTGAATATTTGAATATTTGAAAGTACAACAATTTTATCCCTTTTCATCTCAAAATGCAAAAATATAGTTAAAAAAAACTAAAATCTGTTTTTTTAACATCTTTGCCAGTCTTTTTGAAGCATTGGGACTACCAGCTTTTGAAATGAAGTACCTATATCGGTATTAGTTAGCAATTAGATATTTATAGAAAAGTGCATGTAAGAAGTAAATGTATTAATACGAAATCCAGTTAAAATTCAAATAGTAGAAAAACATGAAAAAGAGGAACATATAAAAAATATGGAAAAATATGGCAAAAATATGACAAAAAATGACAAAACATGAACAAAATTGGAAAAAACGCAAAAAAATTTAAAAACAAAAAAACGTAAAGGCATGTTAAGAAGTGAAAAAAAACATGAAAAAAATGTAAAACGTGACAAAAAGTGAAAGAAGTGACAAAACATGGACAAAAGTGGAAAAACATGCAAAAAATGGGAATATATGAAAAAAAAGTGAGAAAAGTTGGCAAAAATGGAAAAACTTGGAAAAATGGAAAAATAGAGCAAAAGCAAAAAAAATGAAAACTGGAAAAATATGGAAAAAGTGGAAAAAACATGAAAGAAGTGATAAAATATGGAAAAAGTAGAAAAACATGAAAGAAGTGATAAAATATGGAAAAAGTAGAAAAACATGGAAAATGTGAGAAACAAAAAAAAATGTAAGAAGTGAGAAAACATGGACAAAGTGGAAAAACATGTAAAAAGTGGAAAAACATGTAAAAAGTGGAAAAACATGTAAAAAGTGGAAAAACATGTAAAATGTAGAAAACATGGAAAAATGTTAAAAAACATGTAAAATGTAGAAAACATGGAAAAATGTTAAAAATCATGTAAAAACTGAAAAACATGGAAAAATTTTAAAAAATCATGGAAAAAGTAAACAAAGTCCATTCTACATTCTAATACACAGTACATTTCCGCGCTTAGTTCAACTTAGTTCAACGAATGCTCAATAAATTCAGGCGCTTACCGAAAGCCGATACGGAGGCGGCTTGGGCGCATCCCTCGCCGCCCGACGAGCCGCCCACGATGTGATTCGCCCCGTACGGATTGTTCGATCTGCCGTGCACTTTGTTGGCGCTCTCCCACCACATGCACAGCTCCGAAACGTTGGTTAGAGCGATCGGAATGGCTCCGGCTCGTCGAAGACTCGCCACCACTTCGGCGTCCTCATCGGCGACGATGTGCTTGCGTTTGACCAAGCCCGACGAGTGTATTAGACCTGCGAATGCGGTGGAGGTTGAAAAGTATGTACAGTTTCGTCTTTGAATTAAACGACCTCTGCGATTTGCCCGAGGGTAAGGTGAAAAGGGGTAGCGAGTAGATACTCTTTCGCGATCCCTGCAGAAGGAGGTAGATATACTTCAGGAATAGCAAACCGTATAAATAGTAAATAGTTCTAAAGGGTCCTAAATGGTTTTAGGTAATTATAAATGATTCTGGAGCGTTGAAAATGGTTCTAAAGCGTTCTAAATAGTTCTGGAGCGTTCTAAATGGCTAAGGAGCGTTCCAAATGGGTTTAGACAGTTCTAAAAGATTTGAAAGGAGGTAGATCTACTTCAGGAATAGTAAACCAGTCCACGTGAGCTCATGGATTTCCCCATTTACCTCGATCAACCCCGTGGAAACCATGGGGCCTGTTTGAGCAAGCCCGACGAGTGTATTAGACCTGCGAATGCGGTGGAGGTTGAAAAGAATGTATACTCAAATTCAGCTCAGTTGAATACAGCTGTAAAAATGCGCCTACAGACGAATCTAAAGAGATAGGCGTGGTTTTACCCCAAAAGTATGACCGGCGAACCATCCACAGTATACCCGATAACAGCGAAGGTCGACTCGCGGTTTATTTGTAATTCATTATTTGTTATTTGCATCGAAAACATCGGCTGAGCCCAGCCTCTTTTATGATGTTGTGCGCGAAAAAAACACGTGGTGTATTCAACTTAGCTGAATTTTACTGTACAGTTTCAACTACTACTTACAGATACTCTTTCGCGATCCCTGCAGAAGGAGGTAGATCTACTTCAGGAGTAGCCAACCGTATAAATAGTAAATAGTTCTAAAGGGTCCTAAATGGTTTTAGGCAATTATAAATGATTCTGGAGCGTTGAAAATGGTTCTAAAGCGTTCTAAATAGTTCTGGAGCGTTCTAAATGGCTAAGGAGCGTTCCAAATGGGTTTAGACAGTTCTAAAAGATTTGGAAGGAGGTAGATCTACTTCAGGAATAGCAAACCAGCCCACATGAGCTCATGGATTTCCCCATTTACCTCGATCAACCCCGTGGAAACCATGGGGCCTGTTTGACCAAGCCCGACGAGTGTATTAGACCTGCGAATGCGGTGGAGGTTGAAAAGTACAGTTTCGTCTTTGAATTAAACGACCTGGCGATTTGCTCGAGGGTAAGGTGAAAAGGGGTAGCGAGTAGATACTCTTTCGCGATCCCTGCAGAAGGAGGTAGATCTACTTCAGGAATAGCAAACCGTATAAATAGTAAATAGTTCTAAAGGGTCCTAAATGGTTTTAGGTAATTATAAATGATTCTGGAGTGTTGAAAATGGTTCTAAAGCGTTCTAAATAGTTCTGGAGCGTTCTAAATGGCTAAGGAGCGTTCCAAATGGGTTTAGACAGTTCTAAAAGATTTGGAAGGAGGTAGATCTACTTCAGGAATAGCAAACCAGCCCACGTGAGCTCATGGATTTCCCCATTTACCTCGATCAACCCCGGGGAAACCATGTTCTAACCTAAATCACTCCTATCTATACCTTTTTCTCCCTTAACATCCTATCCATCCCGCCAACATGCGCTAGCCAATGCTAAACTCACATAGAGATTCGTCTCAAGGATTCTGAGGGGACAAAAATTCGTCAAGGCCAAAACAAGATCTTAAAAACAGCGCAGAAACTACAAATTAAAAATTGCAACCTACAACACCAGTGGATTATCATCGGAAGATAAGATACTTGAAATAGAGGAGGAGCTAAAGAAAATCAGATAGGACATCATAGGGTAAAGCGAGATCAGTCAAAAAGGTGAAGGCTGGGTAATATTGAAATCTGAGCACCCATTGTACCACTCTTGAGAACAAGACAAATGAGTCGGAGGAGTAGGGCTAATGAACAACAAGAAATATAAAGAGAATATTGAAGTCACCGAAGGAGTATCTAGTCGAGTCGCATTTGTAGACTTTGAAACTAAACAGTAGATACAAAAGAATGGGATAGAGGATGTTATAGAGATGATGACAAAATTAAAATGGAGATTTGCAGGCCATGGAGCAGAACCCAACGACGATAGATGGACCAAAAGCCTATTTTAATGGAGACCACCCCGTGAGGATAGAAGAAGTCATGGGCAGATCACCGTCGCGATGGGTAGATGATATACGGAGAATAGAACACAATTATTGGATGCAACTTGCGAAAAATGGAAATTTTGGGCGCCATAAGGAGGAGACTTATGTCCAGCAGTGGAAGCAGTAGAAGCTGAATGATGATGATGATGAAGGTGAAAAGTTCTGGACCTGACAAAGGGAGACTGCGATTTACAGTTGAAACATTACACTATTCTTTTTAATAAGTCGAAATCTTTGGTTCGAGACGGTTCTGGAGCATTCTAAATGGTTCCGGATAGTTCTGATAGGTTCTGGAGGTTTCTTATCGGTTTTAGACAATTATAAATGATTCGGGAGCCTTATAAACGACTATGGAGCGTTCTAGACAGTTTTAAATGCTTCTGGAGCATTCTAAATGGCTTTAGACATTTCTAAATGATTCCGGAGCATTCTAAATGACTGTGGAGCTTTCCAAATGGGTTTAGACAGTTCTAAAAGATTCTGCAGCATTATAAATGACTAAGGAGCGTTCTAAGTAGTTCTAAAGGGTCCTAAATGGTTTTAGGCAATTATAAATGATTCTGGAGCGTTGAAAATGGTTGTGAAGCGTTCTAAATAGTTCTGGAGCGTTCTAAATGGCTAAGGAGCGTTCCAAATGGGTTTAGACAGTTCTAAAAGATTTTGGAGCGTTATAAATGACTAAGGAGTGTTCTAAATACGAGTAGTTCTGAAGTTTTCTAAATGGTTTTAGGCAATTATAAATGATTCTGGAGCGTTGAAAATGGTTCTGAAGCGTTCTAAATAGTTCTGGAGCGTTCCAAATGGGTTTAGACAGTTCTAAAGGATTTTGGAGCGTTATAAATGACTAAGGAGTGTTCTAAACCGTGGTTCTAGACCGTGCTAGAATTAATTATAAATGTCCCAAAGAGAAAACGAGAACTTTTGCTAATTGAATCGCCCTCTGCAGTGTATCAGGCCGAGAACTTTTCACCCCACTCTCGACTTATTTAGTTAATTAGAGAGTTAATTGAAGGAAAAACGTTTGCATAATGGCCGAGTTGTTGTCGAGTCATTGCAATTAGTTAATAAAGTGCACGCGTGCACGAGGGAATGTCGATAAACAGTTCCAAATTATTTTGGAGCGTTCTAAATGGTTCTAGATAATTCTAAATGTTTCTGAAACGTTCTAAATGGTTCAAAACTGTTCTAAATGTTTCTAGAACGTTCTAAACGCTTCTAAACGGATCAGGACACTCTACAAATAATTATAAATGTTCCAAAGAGGAAACCAGAACTTTTGCTTATCGGAGCGCCCTCTGCAGTGTATCAGGCCGAGAACTTTTCACCCCACCCTCGTATTAACGATCAAATTTGATATACCTTTAACGGGAATGCAATCTTTCGTAGTGAATGGCACGCCCAAGAAGGGCTTCTCCTGAGCTAGTTTTTCCTCCGGTATAACACCGGAAGCAATCAATTCATCGGCTTTTTGGGCTTCCTTTCGAGCTTCGTCGAATCTATTGGCAACCACGCAATTCAAAATCGGATTAACTTCGTTTATTCTGTCTATGAATGATTGCAAAACTTGCACGCTGGTAACCTAAAACAAAGAAAAACAAATAGTTTCGGTTCAAAGTGGATATTTGCTAGATTAGATTAGATCAGACTAAATGATAATAGAGTAAGTACTTGGAGGATTTTGCGAAATATGCTTAAATATATTAGTGTGTTTTTATACAGGGTATTAGATAAATAAACGGAGAAATTTTAGAGGGTGATTCATTGTTAAAAAAATATTAAAAATACTTTTATATGCACGTTTTTGTAAACGTGGATCCGGAAATGCAAATTTTTTTTCATAATTTTTAACAACGAATCCCTCTAAAATACAGTGTGTCCACGGATGGGGTTGCCTATAGGAGAAACATTTTTATTATTCATTTTACGACAAAAAGTCATTGTTTATAAAAATTTTTGCTTCTTTTAAAAAAGAGAATAACACTGAAAAATCTTAGATTGGATTTACAGGGCGTTGTCAAATTAAGAAAACATGAAAATACCTCAAGAGAGAAGTACCATTATTTTTTATTTTACACAAAATTTTTATGAAAGAAAGTTGTTTATAATCTAAAATAAAGCCTGAATACAAATTTGCAAATTTAAATTCAAATTTTGTGTGTCCCTAGATAAAGTTGACCAGATAAATAAAATGGTTATTAATTTTACGACGAAAAGCCATTGTTTATAAAAAAATTAACTTGTCGAGAAAATGAAATTCACATATCAAAACATTAAATAAGACGTATAGGGTGTTAGTAAATTAAGAAACAGGAAAAAATTTCAAGAAAGAACGAAAGAATTTTTATTATCTTACATAAAGAAAGAATTTATTTATTATCTTACATTATTATTTACAAAAAAATGCTTTTAATCTCTCTTTTAATGCTCTTTTTTTATAAAGAATTACTTTTTTTTTCGTAAAATTAATAATCATTTTCTCCTCTGGTTAAAATTGGAATTTTAATTTGAAAATTTGTATTCAGGCTTTATTTTAGATTATAAACAACTTTCTTTTATAAAATTTTGTGTAAAATAAAAAATAATGGTACTTCCCTCTTGAGGTATTTTCATGTTTTCTTAATTTAACAACACCCTGTAGACCCAATCTAAGATTTTTCAGTGTTATTCTCATTTTTAAAAGAAGAAAGAAGCAAAAATTTTTATAAACAATGACTTTTTGTCGTAAAATGAATAATAAAATTTTTTCTCCTATAGGCAACCCCATCCGTGGACACACTGTATCTCCCTCTGTTTTTCGAACACCCTGTATATTTTATTATTAAAACAATATTGTGTTGTGCATTAATATGCATAGTACCTATAGTAAAAAAAAAGCGATAACAATATGAAAATTAAAACGAATGGTTTTTTTACTATTTTTACCTAAACGTTGTGTAAAACAATATCGTGAATAGTTTTTTTCTTACGATGAAACATTCGCGATATCCTTTGTTTAAAAATTTCACGATTAGAATATTTCAACGCGAATATTTTATTAGTAGGTAGCAACATACTGTGACAAAAAAGTATCCGGAATTTCCGATTTAAATTGCCTTAATAGTTTTAAAACTATTTCAAGTTTCTGTTAGGTAATACTCTTCTTAATGAGCGTGCAAAAAATTAGAGAGATTTCTCATCAGTTTGGTTGTATCAGCTGTCCCATATTTTGCATTTTGAACGGAATTTCGTGGGGCCGAATCAACGCAAATGCTTAAGGTGACTCTGTTTTATCGAAAACGCAAGTTTACGAATGGTTCAAAACTTTTAAAGACAGTCGGAAGATCGTTAAAGACTTGGCTTGTTCCCGAAATCTTCGACTTCTTCAACCAATAATAACGGTGAGAAAATGAAGGAAATTGAGTTCCAAAATAATCATTCTAGTATTAGAGAAGTAGCACTTGACTTCAACATCTCCAATTAAACCGCTCGTTAGATTTTGCTCAATCAATGAGGCATGCTGCGGATTGAGGATGATCTCGTTCCGAAAACCATATCATCGACTGGTCGATGCAAGACATGCTGGTTCGTGTGAAGTACCATCGACCAGCCGCTTTACTCACCAGATATAGTCCCGTGCAATAGTTTTAATCCAAACTCAAATTACCACTTCGTGGATCCCGTTTTGACTCCATAAATGCCACCAAAGAAAATTCAAATAAGGAGCTAAAAACCGTACCAAAAAAGGCCTTTAAAAAACGTTTCGATGATTGCAAAAGGCCTCTGACTATGAGTATCGCTTCAAAAGGAGCACATTTTGAAGGAGATTCAAGAAAAATTTAAAATGAGTAGAAACTTTCCGTTTTATTTCAATTTTCCGGGTACCTGTGTATGTGTCTTAAACGTAGGTTTGTCAAATAATGAACAAAGAGTTTGTTTCATATTATGGGTTTTCAACGGAATTTCATAGGCTGAATCGATACAAATGCTTAAGATAACTCTTTTTTATCGAAAACTCATATTTACAATGATACAAAACTTTTAAGGACAGTTGGAAAATCGCTAAAGACTTGCCTCATTCCGGACCGGTCTTCGACCTCTTCAATCAATAATAACGGTGAGAAAATGAAGAAAATTTAGTTCGAAAATGATCATGCTAGTATTAGAGAAATGGTATTTGACTTTAACATCCGCCGTTAAACCGCTCATTTGATTTTGCTCAAGTACCGTCGACCAGCCGCTTTACTCACCAGATATAGCCCCGTGCGACTTTTTTTTGTTTCCCAAACTCAAATTTCCACTTCGGGGATGCCGTTTTGATTCCATAAATAAATATTATCAAAGAAAATTCACAAAAGGAGCTAAAAACCGTACCAAAAAGGACCTATAAAAATGTTTCGATGATTGGATAATTCGTCTGACTATGTGTGTTGCTTCAAAAGAACCATATTTTGAAGGAGGTTCAAAAAAAAAATAAAAAAAAGATTAGGAATTTTGCGTTTTAATCCAATTTTCCGGGCATACAATAGTTATGTACAATAACAAGTACAATAGTACATAAGTTTGTAAAAATTTGTACATAACTATTGTACAAAGTAAACCTACATAAATATGTCCGCAAATTTAATCAAAAATGAAAATTCTTTGTTGTAGGTTGTAGAAACCAAAAACCATGTCCTTGTAAGTAGATAACATTACGGAAGAACCTCGCTTTAATAATAATTAATACGATAACAGCTCCCAAATGATTACAACAATGCTTTTATACAGAACTACATAAGCGTTTTAACCTATTAAGAGGAGTTTAAAAGCATTAAGAGGAATATTACAGCGCATGAGCATTGTAAACGCTTGATATACCTACCTGACAAATAAATTTTTACTATTTTCACGTATATTATGCAATATGAACCAGAACAGGTCAGGTTCAAGGCTGCGATCTTGAGCATAAATTATACTTTTTGGCTCAAGCCCGCGGTTTGTAATTAAATTCGAACGAAACGTTAACCTTTTCCCGTAGCGTAAAAAGTAAAAATAGAAACGCAATTCTAAAAATACAACTACACTTATGTACATTTTATTTATTAACTCGATTAAATCGATTTTATTCATCGATAGTCGGTACTCTGTAGTAATTCAATAAAAAGGTATCAATATAGATACATAATTCATTTACAAATTTTGGTATGTGCATACAAACGTAGTACGAGGGTAAGGTGATAAGTTCTCCGTCTGAATCATTTAGAACGATTTAGAACGCTTCAGAAACGTTTAGAACTGTCTAAAATCATTTAGAACGCTTCAGAACCCTTTAGAACGTTCCCGAATCATTTAGAACGCCTCAGAACCCTTTAGAACGATCCAGAATTATTTAGAACTGTCTAAAATCATTTAGAACTATCTAAAATCATTTAGAACGCTTCAGAACCCTTTAGAACGCTCCAGAATCATTTAGAACGCCTCAGAACCCTTTAGAACGATCCAGAATTATTTAGAACTGTCTAAAATCATTTAGAACTATCTAAAATCATTTAAAACGCTTCAGAACCCTTTAGAACGTTCCCGAATCATTTAGAACGCCTCAGAACCCTTTAGAACGATCCAGAATTATTTAGAACTGTCTAAAATCATTTAGAACTATCTAAAATCATTTAGAACGCTTCAGAACCCTTTAGAACGTTCCCGAATCATTTAGAACGCCTCAGAACCCTTTAGAACGATCCATAATTATTTAGAACTGTCTAAAATCATTTAGAACGCTTCAGAAACCTTTAGAACGATCCAGAATCATTTAGAACTGTCTAAAATCATTTAGAACGCTTCAGAACCCTTTAGAACGTTCCCGAATCATTTAGAACGCCTCAGAACCCTTTAGAACGATCCAGAATTATTTAGAACTGTCTAAAATCATTTAGAACTATCTAAAATCATTTAGAACTATCTAAAATCATTTAGAACGCTTCAGAACCCTTTAGAACGTTCCCGAATCATTTAGAACGCCTCAGAACCCTTTAGAACGATCCAGAATTATTTAGAACTGTCTAAAATCATTTAGAACTATCTAAAATCATTTAGAACGTTTCAGAACCCTTTAGAACGTTCCCGAATCATTTAGAACGCTTCAGAACCCTTTAGAACGATCCAGAATCATTTAGAACTGTCTAAAATCATTTAGAACGCTTCAGAACCCTTTAGAACGTTCCCGAATCATTTAGAACGCCTCAGAACCCTTTAGAACGATCCAGAATTATTTAGAACTGTCTAAAATCATTTAGAACGCTTCAGAACCCTTTAGAACGATCCAGAATTATTTAGAACTGTCTAAAATCATTTAGAACGCTTCAGAAACCTTTAGAACGATCCAGAATCATTTAGAACTGTCTAAAATCACATAGAACCCTTCAGAACACTTTAGAACGCTTGAGAATCATTTAGAATGCCCCAGTAACTTAATTTTTCAACTGAAAATCTCGGTCTTTCGTTGTCAGGCCGAGAACTTTTCAACTTACCCTTGTATGTAGGAAAGTTAATATTCGACAATTAGATGTTAATTATTTAAAATACAAATAACTACTTAATAAGTATTTATGAGATACAAGATAC